GTTTTAATTTTATCTGATGTTAATTTTTCAACGGATTTCAATTTTTTACGATTTGACAATTATTTTTTATCACTTGATCCAAAGCCGCATTTGAAATGAAATAAGTCATTGAATTAAAAAGAGGTTTCAATCCGGCTACACATGGCACAATTGAATCCGTTCTTTATTGATCATTTTATTTTGATTATTATAATATTTAATAAACTTTCTGTTTAGTCTAATTAAAAATAATTTAATAAGCACATCTATGGAATGAGAACAATTTTGTGTTTTTTATGTTTAATTGGCGACTGCCTTTATTGATTTCGTCTTTATGTAAATCAAATGGGATTTTTGGAGTGAGTATCTAGATTTAGTTACTAAAATGGATAAACGTGTTTCATTTGATATCCAAGTACTATAAAACATCTGTCGAAGCACAGAAATAAAACGTGAAAATATAGAAATAAAAAACGTCCTTCATTTGCGTCTCTTTAAATGGGTCTCATACAAATGTATCGTGGTAAAGTAGATAATCTCAGCAAAGCTTATAAAACTGCATCCTAGAAACAATGCTGCAGCTCCACCAATCGATACTATCAAACGATCAGAAGACAATTAAATTATTCAAATAAAATAAAAACCGAAAAGAAAAAAACTTGTTATACACACCAACCAAGAAATGAAGACCAAATTTGAGGTCTCGTACGTTTCGAATTTTTTTAATTTTTGAATTCAACACAATCACAGTATTTGCATAACGCATATTTATTCGTGCGAATGAAAAATGAACCGCGTTGCAATGCGGTAAACATGAGCAATTCTTTCTATAATCGTTCCAGTGATTTTTCAATAAACAAAACCTACAAAGTTATGGAAACGTTCGATTAAAATCATATCGAATATGATTATCAAAGTGACATTTGTTGTTTTACATTCCAGTAACATTGCAAATTGGTCCAAGACCTGGAATTTACAAAATAACAAAATTAATTTAAGTTAATAGTATGATTGTGTTTTAAATTCAATGAAAATCAATCACCGATTTTATAAAAGAATGGCCGACATCCACACAGTTTTACTGCAGCATCAGCAGCGCATTCAGTCAAACACAGACTTTGTGTATATACGCCAAGCGGATAGCTCCGATGCGATGTGACTTCATCAACAAATCTACACCTGCGTGTCTCAATGTCGAACATTTTGCTGCGATTGCTAGTGAATACTCCACCAATGTCTATTTCGAATTGTGTGGAATTATGGGTTTTTGTAGTAAGCCATTCAATTTTTAGGGTTTTCTTTTGACTGGGAATATCGTTTACTCCATGCACAAATACTTTGAGAAATAAATTATTTTATGATATTAAAACGTCGAATGGAAAATCATTTACTCACAATCGTTGCTTTTTGGAAAGGTCTTACAAAATTAGACCAATAATCACACTGATTAACTATACCACATTGCAGCTTGACATTATACCATGTTCTGTGGTTTTGCCACCTTTTTTAGTTTCGGGGAAGCGTTATTGAAGAGAACGGAAGAGAGAGAGAGTGAGAGAAAAGATATCAAAGCGCATTTGTGTGAAATTATTGGATGGTGGTAATAGTGGAATTTCTTTAGTACCATTTGATTGGGGTACCTGCTATGAAATAATTGGTGAGTTCCGAGAATGTGTGACATATTCCAGCTTCTGTTATAGTAGGACGCAGAACTATATGTAAATCTTCAGACGTTGGAGACGCTCCTAATCTTGGTTTAATTCGTTGCAGCTCAGGAATTCCTGAAAAATTAATAATAAAATTATGAAATTTAGCTGGCAATTTACAGTATGTCTTGATTATTATAAAAATAAATATTACATTACATACCTTTCATCTTCTAAACATTTCAATCGTTCTTCCATTTCATCCAATCGCTTTTCACATCCGTTCACTCGCTGGTTTATTGAATGTTGTGAATTTGTTTCGGTGTCATTCGGTCTTGTTTGAGCTGGTTCGTCGATAATATATATGTTTTCAATTGGTACCAAAAGGCACCAATTGCTCCAAACGAAGTGATTAAAACGCCGATATTTGACACCAGCTGTGCCTT